CGTCCCCTCCCGGGATGGCGGGTCGCGCCGCGGCTGGGCAGCTCTGCTCGGAGATCCGCCCGTCCGGGCGGGCTCCGGAGGGCACTTCGTGATACGTGGGGCTTTCACCGTGTAAATAGCAGGGGAAAGAGAAGACCTGCAAGGGGAGTCGCTACACCAGTGTCTGCGCGGGGCTTCCTAATGGACTTGTGTTGTTGACGCTGTGCTGCAGGTGCCAACCATGGACAAGCAGGTGCTCGAGGCGGCTGCGGAGCGCACGTTCCAGTACCAGGACTCGCTGCCTCCGCTGCCCGTGCCTGCGCTCGAGGAGTCGCTCAAGAAGTACCTGGACGCAGGTAATGGCTTGCGCTTGTGGTAGCCATGTGCTGCTGTCCAGGCTGGGCTGAGCGTGCTTGCACAGGCAGGTTTGTAGGGACAGGCTGTACCAACTGCCGCATGTTTTTAAGGCAAATCCAAGCAAGTTTAGGGCACACAACCCCTTTCTTTAGATCCAGAAGAGGATAATTAAAGTGGCAGAGCAACTGTGAGTACAGGTTCCCATCTTACCCTTACTTGCTCCCCTTTGGCATAAAAGCAGCCATGTAGGAGTGAAGGTTGTTGGCTTGGGGTCTTCCCACCGCCGCCAAGGGCTTATCTTTTTGCAGCTATATCAGCTTTTCTGGGAAAAGATACTGCCTGACAAACATTGTTTTGCATAATGACTTCTTTGTTCTTGACTTTGTGTAAAAAGAGGATTCCAAGGTCATTTTTTCATAAATTTTTCCTAAATTATTAATTACACAGCAGTAAGGAGAGGCAGTAGCAGACTTTTTTTGATAATCTAACTTGGCAAGGTTTCTGCTTTGAAGTGCTTCTTGCCTAAGCAAGATAGAGTAAGGGAAAAGTTTTAAAAACATCATCAGTGCAAACGTGTGTCACTTTGGTTTTAGAGCAGAGCTGGTTGGTTGGTTCCGTGTTATCATATCAGACTTTGATAAACCAGGAAGGACAAAGCAAAGTTGCCCAGTTTTTTCCTTTTTTTTTTTTTAATGCTTCTTTAATCATTTTTCAGAACTCAGAGACACTGAGCTTTTCTGTCAAATGTCTGCTTTGACTTACTATCTTACCATAAAACAGAAGTGGCAACAGAATAAAACTTGGTGTTCTGTCTTTAGCAAAAAACAGCATTACACCAATATTCCCTTTGCCAAAAAACAAATCCCTAATTTCACTTCAAGTTCCCTTCTGTTCCAACCAAGTGTAGTAGAAATAGCCTAATGGATGGTAGTGGTAATAGGAGATTCCTCCTTGCTTGATTCTTCTGAATCAAATGGTGGCTGAAGGGTGACCTATTATGTCCCAGGTGTGTGCATTAGCAAATTTTTTTTTTCATTTTGTTGTAATGCAGATAACTGGAATTACATGTGCTGTAGTGGAAAGCGGACAATGGCAGAATTGCTCTTTAGAGCTCAGTTTTGTGAATCCATCTGGACTCTACAAGCTAATAAATAGTCCTTTCCCGGAGTAGTGGAAACTGTTAGAGTTTGCTTGCTCTTGTCTGATCTGTGTTTTCATGGATACCTATCACCTCTCTCCCCAGTTGTGTTTTCTTCTTGCGTTTTTCTTCTAATGCTGAAGTTACTTCCTCTTTACTATTCCTTGGGCATAAGCCAAAACTTCAGTCATCCTTGTGGCCCTCTCAAGTCTCAGTAGGAGGTGGGGGAAAGTTATTCCAATACTTGCTCAAGGAAAGCCTGTGGTAAAACAACACTTCACTTAAAGCCATGTTCTGCACGCACAACTCTAGGTACTGGGTAGGTCATTCTGAAAGCTTAAGCTCTTCATCCTTCTGTCCATGCCAGGTAGGTGGGTAAAGCAAGGGATGTGATTCTGAAGAGTGACTCAGAGCCTCCAAATGACCCCACATAAATGCTCTGAATCACTTTGCCAGTCCTATGTTGGTCAGAGGAGATACTTGATGTGAGTCAGTTTGCTTGCTGATAAAGGTGTAAGGATAAAGGATAAACCCATTTGTTTAAAACCAGTCAACTAGATAAGCTGGACAGTGTGGGTTTCAAAATGTGCCATATATAGCGCTTCACAGCAGCTACCTCTGTTCTAGAGTCAAAATTCCTAACCTTGTTTTGAAGGGAGGCCTTGAGAAGAGGAGGTAGATGTAGCTGCAGTATGTAGTGTTTCAGCTCACCTCAAGGTCTGCAACTGGGAATGTTGAACCCCTTAGCCTGCGAGGGTGAAAACCCCAAGGCCTGCTTTCAGAAGGGCTAGGGCTGTCTTGCACAGGATGCTCCTTGTTCATGGATCATGCTGAGTTCTTGTGCAGAAAGGAAGCCCAGAAAGAGTGGCAGGACAGAAGCTGCTCTGAAGTCTAATGAGAAAGCGACCTAGGTGCGCCCCTTCTTTCCTTTTTTCCTTAGACCTTGTCAGAATCTCCTGTCTTAAACTTTGTCTTCTCTTTGCTATTCCATGTGGTAGTTACAGACTGCAGCAAGATATTCTCTGTGTAGTCTCTTCTTCAACCAGCCAAAGCTCCATTCTCAGGGCGTTCTTACTATCTTGAGCCCCAGACCCCTAACAGTCCATCAAGACCCCTTGAACAGGGACCAGAATCCAGTATTTTTATTTTATTTTTTAACTTTTAGGGCAGCTGTGCGCAAATAGCTGTGTAGTGACTGTAACCTGAATAACAGGCCTGAATAACAGGTGTGATGGGATGCCCCACGGGGGAGCTGGCTCATCACAGGACAGCTCTTGCAAGGTCGTGGCAATTGAAGGAGGTTCCTGAGGGCTAGAAGCAAATATTATTGCTGTGTTCAAGAGGGCAAGAAGAAAGATCCAGGGAACTACAAGCTGTTCAGTCTAACCTGAAGGAGATGGGGAAAGCTATCCTGGAAGCCATTTGCAAACATAATAAGAACAAGGCAGTGACTGGGAGTGGTCGGGTTTACAAAGGGGAGACCAGCTGTGTTTGACCAACCCGAAAGCCTTCTGTGTTGAGAAGGACTGGCCTGATGGGCAGTCCTTCCAGGTGCACTGGATGTTGTCTTGACTTTAACCAGGCTTTCGACACAGTCTCCCATAGCATCACACAGGCAAACAGATGAGGTGTGGTCTAGATAAATGATCAGTGAAGGAGCTTGAAAACTGGCTGATGGGACAAGCTTGAGGGTTTTGATTAGTGGCACAAAGTCCAGCTGGAGACCAGTAACTAGTGGTGTCCCCCAAGGGTCAGTACTAAGGTCACTGCTGTTTAACATTCATTAATGACCCAAATAATGGAGCAGAGTGCACCCATTGCAGGTTTGCAGATGACATAAAACAGGGAGGAGGGGTTGATATCCCAGGGGGTTGTGCTGCCATTCAGAAGGACCTCAGCAGGCTGGAGAACTGCGCAGAGAGGAGCCTTATGAAGTTCAGCAGAGCAAGTGCCAGGTCCTGCACCACGGGAATAAGAACATGACCCGGCGCAGGCTGGGGCCCAGCTGGCTGGAAAGCAACTGTGCAGAAAAGGCACTGGGGTCCCAGTGAGCAACAAGCTGGCCGTGAGTCAGCAACGTGCCCTGTGGCCAAATAGGCCAGTGGTATCATGGGCTGCGGTAGGAAGGGCACTGCCAGCAGATCTGGGAGATCTACTGCTCATAGTGTCCAGCAGCCTCAAAAGAGAATCAGCCTTTTCTTTTGTGAAGGTGTTGAATGAGCAGAAGAGCACCTTATACAAAAGACTTTGTAACGCAAGTATAAAGATAACACATTATATGTGAAGTAAGTAAAAGAAAACAATTGGATGTGCCTCTGTGCAAACCATCTTCAGTACCTCTTACTATTACTGACTATATATGGTCTGTGCAAAGGTCTTAAGGAGAGGTTTAGATTAAACTAATGAGTAGTTTTAGAGCTGTTTACATAGAATGTTTAGAAAGAACTGTAGCCCATGTGGCAGATGATCAGAGAGAAATACAAAGGTATTTTAAAATAGAAAAATTGGGTGCTAGTAACTGTCATGAGTAGACCATGAAGGGCCTCAAAAGTGTAAGCAAGTAGCCCATGGTAAGGCATAAAAATACATGGCTCAACACATTAACTTCCAAACAAAGTTCACGTTAAATTGGTAAATTAGTGAATTCTATAGCAGTATCTCCACAATTCTGAATATATTGGAATTAATTATCTATTACATTTCAGGGCTTTAACAACTGCTTTCATTTACTGACATGTTTATTAGAATTTGTTATTAAAGTTCTGTGATTTATTTGCAGCTTTTAAAGTTTTTCTCTTTTCCCTCCTTAAGTATTTGTTTAAAAAAAAAAGAAATCTTTGCCTGTGGAAAAGTGAATTTTGGAATGAATCTCAGTATGCCGTTGTCTTTAAAAACGTTTCCTTTACAGTGAAGCCCTTTCTTAATCAAGAAGAGTATCTAAGAACTGAGCATATAGTTAAAAATTTTGAAAATGGGATTGGAAAAGAGTTGCATCAGAAATTACTGGAAAGAGCTAAATCAAGAAGGAATTGGGTATGTATTTACATACTTGAGAAATTGTAACTTATTCCTCTATTGGATATATATGTTGCTGCATCTACTTCACTAGAATAGAAGGTAATAGCATCTCTACGGAGAGCAAGTGGAAAGCTGGTGGTTCAGGATCTAACTTTGAGGCACTTGAATGTAATCTTCAGTCTCAGCATCCTCGTTATGTTTGCCACTCAGCTACAAACTTGACTGTGCCTGCTTATATAAGTGCTGTTTCAAAGTCAAGTGGCTAACTGGGTGGCTTTTGAAACATTTTCTCTCCTAGTCTCCTTCTCAACACTTCTGCCTCTGGGAAAAAAAAAAACAATTTAGAGTTCCATTTTATGAAGAATTTTCATGATAGCATTTTAAAATTGTCTTTCAAAACAGTCCCCCTGATATCTCTTTCTCTTATCAAATGTGATTTTTGAGAGCCCTGTAAATCTTAACATGACACACAACAGAGATTTTCAAATCAGAATAGAAAATATGTATTACCAACTCCTTGTCCCAGTTTCTCTTTCAGACAGATCTGCTCTTTCCACTTTTTGTGGGATGATCCCTCTGGTACTCACAGCAGCCACAGCTTACAGCTACAGGTGCTCAAGCAACAGAGTATCAGGGAGGAACTCTTCATAGAAATTTATTGTCTAATAGCCTTAAACAGCATTGAGTTTTATTTCAGTGGCATGAGAAGAGCTAGATATGTCATTACTCTCAGCAGGGGGCTTTGCCTTCTGTTAGAGGAGCTACTACTCAACTTTTATTTATTTATTTAAGAAAGGAGATTAGAAAGTTGAACTGTGATTTGAGCGATTATTAAAGAATTATGTCTAAAACATACTCTGATGGTAAACATTGTTCATTTTCAGCTGGAGGAGTGGTGGCAGAATGTGGCTTATCTTGATCTTCGCATATCAACGCAAATATACTATAACATAGGAGGCGCTGGCCCCTATATTGAAACGTATTGGCCACCCAAAGAAGGCACTCAGATAGAGAGAGCATCTGTTAGCATATGGCACACCCTGAGATACTGGGATCTATTAAGAACGTAAGACTTAAAAATTTAGAATTAATTATTTCTTGTTAATGATGTGTGTATGACTTGAGTCATGAAAACGTGTTTGTGTTCATTGACTAAAATTCTTTGCAATAGAAGATGGGCTTGTCTTGCACCCTTTGTGCTTGCTTTATTTTTGTGTGTTTTGTTTACTGCAGAGAGAAAGTGGCAATAGACAGATCTGGGAATGCTGTTTTGGACATGAGCCAATACCGAAAGCTCTTCTGCACTTGCAAGATTCCTGGAGTTACCAGAGATTCAATCTGCAATTATTTTAAAACTGGTAAACAAATGCAAATTGTGATTAATACAAGCAAATGATTTGTCATTAGAAAACTAGTGGACTGGTCATGTCAATCATAAAATATTTGATTTCTGAAGCACCGGGTCAGATACTGGTTGTTGAATGATTATGTAGGGAATCAAAGAAGAAATCTAATCCACTAATTTTGGTATAGGTATAATATATAGTTAATTATAATATAATATATAATGTAGTTAATTACTTTAGTTAATACTGTAGTATGTAGTTAATATTAAAAGAAGACTTTTCTCCAAAATGTATGTTACCAGCCTGATGTCTAGCAACTGTGCTAGCATTTAGAATTGGAAAAAGACAAATTCAATGTGTTATAGATATGGATGAATTCCATTTATGGAATGAACAGCATTTCAGCATCATTTGTTATTGTGTCTCTTTTCTCATAGTGATTTTTCTTGAGTATGCTCCCATATAGTTAGATGGGATGCTTCTTATTTTTTATAATTAAGACATTTTGTAGCTTGGTTGAAACTTTCTCTTTTGAGTTTTGAAAGCATTCCAGTGATTCTCAAAACCTTTTTTTTATCTCTAATGACTTTCAGGGGTATAAGATCAAAAGCTGGAGAAAGAGTAATGATTATTGATCCTCTGCTAGCAAATCATGTGATATTAGTAATCGGGTGCCTGAATTCATCCCCACTGTCTGATTCATTCAGAGGGCTTTAGGATCATTCTTCTGGTGGATCAGGGAGATGTGAATTACTGCAGAACTCAGGAATTGAAGTGGAAAAAGGGATTGCTTTGGTTCATTAAAGTTTTTTTAAAGAAACTTCCATACAACAGAACACGTTGAGAAGATACAGGGTTACATGCAAATTCCTTTTTTTAATTAGGGTTACACTTCAAGAGTCAGTTTACATATCAATGCATAGAATAAACATCCAGGTGGTTGAAACTCAGAATGTCCTGTTACGACTGCATGCAATAAGTAAATACATGCTCTAGGTGTCCCTGCTTGAGCAGGGGGATTGGACTCCATGATCTCTAGAGGTCCCTTGCAACCTTAACTATTCTGTGATTCCGTAAAGCAGCTATGATCCTGTGGAGATATGTCATGCATATCCTTTTCTGCTTTAAGATATTCACTAAAGGATCTTGCTTTAGCAATTTCACATTTCTCATGCAGCAGGTAAAATTTATTTCCCTGTAGATTGTCTACCTCCAGATTAAAAATTTAGTTCATTTAGTTGCCTTGGATCTCTCTGTGGCTGGTAGAGAGAAATGAGTAGCTCAGAGAATGAGCTACTCATGTGAATGAGGTCATCTTATTCAGGTGTCTAAAACAGGTGAAAGGAATTGCCCCCTGTTTGGCTATAGAGGGAATTAGCTCAGTCTGAGCACTTAAAGTAGGATTCAAACTTGCAGAGCAGGACCACTAAAATTTAACACTGGGTCTTGAAGATCCCACTAATCTGAAACCAAGAGGGCCTAATCAGTGCCCCCAGCACTACTGGGAACAGCTGGCAAATGAAGAGCTCCCTGGATTTCATAGAGGGTATTGAGTAGGTTGGGCACTTAATTGTAGGTAGCATCATTTCCATGCTTAATTGCTCCTTGCTTTAAACAGCGGAGGCTAGAAAGGTGCTATCTAGTGTATGCTAATTTGTCATCATCCCTTATGATTTTTTTTCTACATTAGAACTTTTATCTTTTTGAGTAGATTCATAGGTTATGAATTAATAGATTTCTCCTGTGTGTTTAGATTAGATAGTATAGAATTGTATTATGAAATTTGGAAAGCAAGGCTATAAAGAAAGATGTAAAAGATATAAATACCTTGTGTCTAAGATTAAAGTGTTTTGGATGTCCATTGCTAGATGTGTCTGGCATGCTTGTGGGAAAAACAGCCATCATTTCTTCTTTTTCCAGAGGCAGAGTTCTGGTCTAGAGTAAAAGTAATGCAGGAGCTTGGTTTGAGAGGAACGTAACTATATTTCTTGGGGGTTTAACATCTGTGGGTTTTTTTTTGGTGAGAACTTTTTCATTTTACTTTAGTGTTGGATTCTTATGTGTTTGTTTTCTGTTGTTTTCCTTTGCTTCAGAGACTGAAGGTGAATGTCCTTCTCACTTAGTGGTTCTGTGTCGAGGCCGAGTGTTCACCTTTGATGCTCTACATGAAGGCAATATGCTGACCCCTCCAGAGATTTACAGGTTTTCAGACTATCTTCTTTCAACTGAGCTGTTGTATTTGAGCTATATATCAAAGGCAATCTCTTTTTCTCCATGCCTCTCACCCCCCAGATTATATCCTCTGCAGCCGAAGGTTCCAATTTCAGTAAATTGGGTCAGTGCATGGCATGGCATATTCTTGTTGTGAAACATGAGGATCTGGTACTTTTGTGATACACCCTAGAGCTTCATGCAGAAGCTGTAAATGTTTCAACGGGGGATCTCATTTGTGTGTGAAGGTTTTTGGCATGGACCTCTCAGGGTTATAAGTAACAGGATCAATCCATGTGGATAATTGGCTCATTGCTACTTCATTGTTAGTAAAGATAAAGCACCACTGTCCTTTTGAGTCCACTTTAAACTTTATTCACCTGTGGTCACTTTTGACAGGGTTAGAGGGCTGTGTTTGTTATTGGTGTTTGCAGCAGAGACAAAAATCCTGGTATAGAGGGACTGACCGTACTTTCCACTAGCATAAGAGCAGTGCAGCAGCATTTCACTTGCATTTCCTGTCTTTGTACCATACCAGGGATAAGCAGGCTTGTTTGTGCTCTTTCATACTTTAAAATGCTGCCAAAGAGCAGACAGAAAGAATTTGGCTCTTAAAATGGTAATTTCCAGTCCTGCTAGTGCAACTTGTGATGTGTATCACTTTTCCATGACTGCTTTCCTGTCTTCAAGTAAATCACAACCACAGGCAGAGGTGCCAGCTTTTCAAATGGACAATGCCATTGCTGTCACCACCTTTTCTGTGCTACAGACTGTAGTCTAATGTCACTTATATAGAGGTAGGTCCAGCATAAATCCAGATCAATTTGGAACCCATGTGCATCTACTTCCTGCAGAGGGGTTGCACATTTTGTCGTCTAGGAAAAATTTACTGAGTTTGTTCAAGTGTTGCTTTTGGAGTGCAGCATAACAACAACAAAAAAAGATGTCTATTAAAATTAATAAAAGATGTGTGGCCAAATTCCTTAGGCAAGGAAAATGTGTAGTTAGGGCAGCTCAACCAACTTTTCTGGGAAGTCTGGTATGTTAACACTTGCAAAACATACTTCAACATCTATATTCCTGATGTTTGTGGCAGTGCATGTTAGATTAAGCAAGTAATAAAGAAATGAACCAATAGAAAATGTGTTAGCTCAGTAATACCTCTAATGTAAAGCTTCAGTTGCCTATGGAAAGGCAGTTGTCTTTGGTAACTTCATCATGAGTATCTTGTATTTTTGACAACTGTTTAAGAAATGATCAGGCTTTAAGTTTAATGGGTAAGAGTGCCATAACACAGGCCAAGCAAGACTCGTGCTATAAACTTTAGGGTTTTTCTTGAGTTGAAGTTTTGCCCTTATTTTAAGTTAGTTGTTAGAAAAGCTGCAGTACTGGGAGCGTCTGCTACCAAGGAAGTTTGAGCTGCACTGCTGAAATCTTCAGCCCCATTTGAAACTGGGTTAAGCCTATACAGAATATTTCAGGATTGTGGTTCTTTATGTGTAAGTCTGTACTGGGCTGATAGCTGCAATTTGAACTAGTTATTAGATTGAAGATGGAGCAGATCTTCATCTGCCCTCCCATCCTTCAGGACGCTTCCTGAAATTCCACATTAACCTCTGAATGCTGAACAAAATTTTCAACTTTTCAAAAAAGATGAATACGATCTCATCTCTTCATATATATTTTTTTTAACCTAAAGGCAGCTTACATATATCCAGAAAAGATGTTATAGTGAACCAGATGGACCAGGACTCGCGGCCTTAACGAGCGAGGAAAGGACAAAATGGGCAGAGGTTGGAATAATTCATCAACTCATTTTGCAGAAAAGCCTTATGATTGCTGGAAGCAGGCATTTCACTTAGCTTTCTCTCTTTATACCATATAGATGCGTGAGTATTTAATTGATCTTGATCCAAAAAACTTAACTCTTCTGGAAAAAATTCAGCAAAGTGTGTTTGTGGTCTGCCTGGATGATGCGAGTCCCCACGCAACTCCTGAAGACTACAGCGAGGTAGCTAAGGATTTTTGATACCTCTTGTTTGGGGTTTTTTATATACAAATTTCTTATTTAAATGTGCATATTCTTCCTTTGGTAAGCTAGCCTGTTACACTGCTCTAGAACAGAGCAAATGAGGCAAATAAATGTGCAGATAAGGTTTCTTGTTGATCCTCAGGCATATTCAAGCACTTCTAACTGTTAGAATACTGACGTGAAGATGGCTGAAGTCTTCCTGTATAATCTGCTAGCCCACCATGCTCCAGTGTCTGCAGAAATGTAGTTACCAACTTTTTACTACTCTTATAGATTAAAATATGACATATTTTGTCTTCAGGTGGTTGCAAATGTGTTCTCTCTCTGACAGCCCTCACCATTTTAGTTTAAACACCCACTGTGTAACTTTTGCTTCAGATTACAAGACTGGGGCTAACAGGCGATCTCACTGTCCGCTGGGGAGATAAATCCTACAATAGCATCTTCTTTTCCAATGGAACTTGTAGTGCATTCTGTGATGTAAGTTAGCTTTTTTTTTTTTTTTTCTTTTAACTTACAAACCTTTCAAGTATTTCTTTACTAACTTTTCCTTTCAGAATAATATTTTCAATATGTTTAATGCATTTCTTTTTAGTGCATTCTTGTTTACCAGGCACTGTGTCTGGCAAACGTCCCACAACAGTCTTCCTTTTATAGTGTTTGGTATTACACCATAGCTGAATTAAGAACGTGAGTTGTGAAATCATAATCACAATAATAAGGAGTTCCAAACAGAAGAAATACATTGCACAAGGCAGCTTAAAATTAACTCTTGACTGAAATCTCCTTCTCCATTGCAGTGCTATTTTGTGTTTCTCTGCCTGACTGCAGAGCAGGCAAAGCAGCAGGTGGACTTACGGTAGTTCTACATGTATTGCAGAAGAACTAGAAAAACAAGTCTAACAGAATGCAATAAAGCTGTAGGAGAGAGGGAAGGGTAGGAGGAAAAAAAGCAACTTGATTTTTTCTCATTTATGCAAACAATGTGACATCTTGTCTTGTGTGATTCCAGCATGCTCCTTTTGATGCCATGGCTTTAATTGTCATGCTATCTCATGCCGAAGGGAAGATTAGTGAAAATGAGGGCAAGTGGAAGGTATGTGCTCTCTAAGCTTTCAAATATAATAGTTAATGTGTCTTTTCTTATGGATAACATTTTCTGTTTTATTTCTGTCTCCTTCTTCTGCCCAGGGCTCAGATAAAGTAAGGGATATTCCATGGCCAGAGGAACTTGTGTTCACGGTGGACCAGAAAATAATGAATGGAATTGAACACGCTAAAGAATCATATTACCAGAAGGTGGACTTTCTAGCTACTTTCTTAATCGTCACTGAAATTTTCGTTCTCTTTGCATATCTTTGTGGCCTTTCTGCATGCCAGAGAACAGGGAGCACTGCATACTAGTGATTTTTTGATTTGAACCAGAGGTCTTACACCAGTGCTAAATTGCTTGCACTGTTTTGGTTTGTTTGTTTGTTTTGGCAGGGGTGATGGTCTAATTTTAAGCTGTGTGTGTTTTATTTATTTAAAGGGGGATAGAGTTGTGATTTTTGCAGTTCTTGACTTCATTTGAAGTTATTCCTACTGTGGTTTGACAGGTGTCTGACCTGCAGCTGGTGAATTATGCCTTCACATCATTTGGAAAAGCACTGATTAGGAAGAAGAAATTTCATCCTGACACATTTGTGCAGCTTGCTCTCCAGTTGGCTTATTACAGATGTCATAGGCGGTAAGAAAAGTGCATTTTTCAGATGAGGTATTAAAAAAAATATGTTGTTGGCAAATGGGATGGATCTGGAGATACAGAAGGCTCTGCAATGTCACTGTGGAGTTTGCTGAGGTTATATAAGTGAGAAGTAAGGTTTCTTTACTGGAAAAATTAAGTAAGGCCTCACCTTGCATGACTGAAATCCATGGGACTAGTGCTTTTGGATTCAGAAGTGTGTCCTTCTGCCCATGGGCAATATGCATGCACATGTTGTGAATGGGAAGGCAGAACACAAGCTGTGAAAACACATATTGAATAGTAGAATGTAAATAATTGAGCAAATGCCTAACCTGCAATTGATTCCTTAATGCCAAAGAGAAGCTCAGGTGAGAAGTAATAGCATGTAGCAAGTGACAGCCATCAGCAAAACAGGGACAGAATAATAGAGATGCAGATAGTGACCATGTAGATGCCTGGCTCTGTTTGGGGCACGTCATATTGGCTTGTGTTCCCAAGAAAAGAGAGCATTCTTCCTCCTATTGCGTTCCAAGTTTCTCTTTTCCTA